TCAGAAAATCCAAAGATGCAAAGTTTTTCTTCTACAGCGCAGTCGGCCCCTTCAACCACGAATTCCGATGACAACGTTGCAACTCACGGTGGAGGACTACCACCCCTAGTACCGGCCCACCATGTCACATCTACCGAACATATGGGTCTTGGCCAATTTCGAACGAATGAGGACCAATTTGGAGGAGATTGATCGAATGAGAGAATAGGGCGATTTCTTTGGGTTTTGGGGGGTTTGAGTTGTTTTTTGCACTTGAGGTCATCAAGGTTCTATGTTCACATGTTTTGGTCCTTTAAGTTTCAATTAAAATCATAACGGTCCTCCAGTGACCGTTTGTGAAAGCACATGAAACTTCAGTTACCGTTTCTGCAAGTTTTAAACTTCAGTGACCGTTTTGTAATTTTGAGATAAGTTCAGTAACCGTTTGTGAAATTAACTCTTTAATTAATTAAAAAGTGTTGTACAATTAACTAATTGAGTTACTAGTTAATATGCCCGAATTAATTAATTGGATTAATTGATTCATGGACCAGATTTAATTAATTTGATTAATTAAATTTTGGACCGGGTTAAGTTTAATAGATGGGCCGAGCCCATCTGGACTTATATTAATAGACTACTAGGGTTTGAAAAAACTGTAGAGAATTTCATTATTCAAGCTAGCACAAGAAAAGAAAACCCTAGCCGTCATTCATATTCTCTGTGTGGATCACCATTGGAGGCTGGACAATTGGACAGCTTGGATTGCAGATCGTGATCATTGGAGTTCAAGAAAAAGCAAAAGAGTTTGTGGAATTCATCAAAGGTATAATTCTCATCACAGTTTTCAGCTTGGATTGCAGATCGTGATCATTGGAGTTCAAGAAAAAGCAAAAGAGTTTGTGGAATTCATCAAAGGTATCATTCTCATCACAGTTTCTATCTAAACACATTGCAGATCCTCGTTTGGGAATTGAAAATTGTTTAATTTCCGCTGTGCATGTTAAGTAAATTCCCAACAGTATCTTCGGTCTGACACGATATATGAGTCAAGAAAGTATACGAGTGACTGCGAACCGTACAAACGGTAAAAAAAAAATAAAGGTGTGCCGGTCCGGAAGAATTGACGACTATGCCAACCTTAAGCATAGACCAACAACCCTTTTTGGCCATAACCCATCCAGCAGTTTCGTCGCCAGTTTTTGTCTTGAACTTGGCAGCTATGTGAGCATTTCCCTGGCTTACGCTAAACCAGGCTACAAAAAATAAATTACATAATCATTACTGTTGAAATATAATGCTTTCTATACATTATAAATTTTGTTTCAAGGTCATGGAAATACCCGAGAACACGTAAAGTTTATCCTTTTCCAAGCAAAATTTCTGTGTGAAGCTATCGAACGCTGTATTTCTGTTGGAGGCAACAATATATTTCTTGCCGTCCTTGGATTTTTGATGCTCGACTTTTGCATCTCCGAATATTGTCCAGCCCTTTAGCCCAAGATTCAGTTCAGGATTCAGAACTATCCCTCCACCATAATGAGCTTCTTCTGGCTTTGTTAAACACTGAGAGAATGCATCCCCATAAAATCATATTATTTTTCAGTTATCAAATTTAGCAAAAAATAAAATAAAACAACGGTTTCCTAGTGTGTGTGTTGTGTTTCTTGAAGAAAGATGTTAAGACAAAAGGTAGTCTGCCTTGGGATTAAATCTGTAATCATAAGGGACCGCATAAGCTTTGTGGCCTGTAGAACATAAACAAAGAAGGTTAGAAGTGATAATAAGTTAAATTTTGTGAAGAAAAAGAAAGAACGAGATGAATTTATGTAATACTACAATCGTGATTCAGAAAGAAAATTGCGAATAAACAAGATGCTAGAAACTTCACCATTGTTGATAGCGATTTGTTAGTTTCTTTTGAAGAATGTTAACGATATGGCGTCCATTTTATACTAAATAACTAAGAACAAAACAAGTAAAATCTGAATACTAAATTCTTGTTCATAAGAGGTGATAAATGCATAATTTGTCTTGCGAAATAAAAACTAATTAATGAAGATATTTTTTGAAGAGGAAAATCGGGAGATTAAAGAGATTCATGCAAATCGAAATGGGATGATCATTTTAGCCAAACACGGTGCAATAAAATTAACAAACGAGAGAAAAACAAGAATTTTACAGCATGCGTTTGCCGGGAGTCGAACCCGGGTCTATTGCTTGGAAGGCAATTATCCTAACCGTTGGACTACAAACGCTTGTGTTGTACACAGTTTCAGTTACTATTTTACTACTTTTCTTTTAGAAGGCCACTCCCTGTAAGAAGTTAATTTTTAGCTGAAACTACCAATGAATTAAAACTCTTTATCAAAATTACTGTTTTTAAGTTTTTGTCAAAAGCTTTTCTAATATTTCCTTATGTTTTCAAATTCAATTGAGAAATAAAAAATTTCTTTTAGTTAGTCCTGGAGTTTTCATAGGATTTCAAGTTTCGAAATGCGTTTGTTGCGAAAATATTTTCAATTTAAATGTTGCCGTGCAACGTCTTGTAGGTGCCAAAACAAAAATGACTTTATTGTAGCATCTAAGTCTTCAACGTATTAATTTTCTTAGGATTTAGGTTTTCACCCTTATAAGCCTCCATTTGGGAATATTATAAACGGTTTAATTTATAAATAGATCAAATTTAGTGTACATAAATAGATAGTACTTGTGAGATTTGAAATACATTGTTGAAAATGAAGGTTATTTTAAATTATTTATAAATTTTACCGAATGGATACTTAATTTTATAGCACATGAGAGTTGAGTCATCGACAAATAGTTTTTGTCCCTTGAACTTGTAAAATAATAACATTGAAGTAGAATTGATGAGGTGAAGATTAACACATTTTGTATAGCAAGAGAGTACTCCAAAGTCTTTAAACCCTTGAAAACTTTAAATTTTATTATGATGAAGAAAAAGTATCCAGAGCATACAAATAGATATGTAGTCAAAAGAAATTTTATTTTTATTTATTTATTAACTCTTGCATGGATTTTTACATGTAGTGTTCTATGATCAGCTTCACACATTGAACCTTTTTAAGTTAGTTGATTTTGTTGGAAAATATATTATTTGGCAAATGAATTTTCACTTGTGTATGTGAAATTAATCCCACATTGATTGAAAGTTGGGATTTGAAGAGGAGCCTTAAAATGGATTAACAATCCCACATTGGTTAGAAATGGAAAAGTGGGAATATATGAGGACTATAAATAGTACCATCCCACATTGGAAAAAGAAAAAAGAAAGTGGCAAGTGGGAAAACTTAAATAGTTATCCCACATAGGATAAGAATAAGTTTTTGGACCAATTTATATATGGTTAACAATTTGTAAGGTGTAACCATTTGTTGCATAGAGACTCCTCCGTGGCCTACGCGCCCGCAGGGGGGTTGCAAATCTTGGACCGCCTTGGCCTTCGAGCCTTGAACTTGTGTGCGGGCGCGACCTGCGTACACGAATGTCGGACCGAATGAGTCAAAAATTGGCCACCAAGTGCAAGCCACGTTTTGAAAATTTTCTTTTACGTTTTTCCATTTAAAACATAACTTGAAAACTGTTTTCATTTATTTTTGTAACTCCAAAACGTGAGAATTCAATGGCAGAGTTATGACTGGAGTTATGACTGCATTAAGAGGCAAAGGCTCCTCCTTGCCTATATATCCCGAACAATCTCTTCAGTTCAGACACACCACAACAGCACGAAATCTTTCTGCTTCCTTTTCAAATTCCTGTCGTCTTACAGTCACTTGGTGATTCCGTTCCGGCACACTCGTTCAGTTCGACTGTACAAACTACAGTTCACGCCGCTGTATCCTGGGAAGCAAGCGCTCGCATTACTTCGGTGAGGGGGCGAATATTGCTTTAAGGACACTGTGTTCGACACAGGCCCCGGCTTCAAAGACGCCAATTTTATCTTCTGTCAACTGCAATATTTTCTTTTTCTGTCCACTGCAATTTGTCTATTACTTCTTCTAATTCAGTTAACTGTTCAGAGTTTACCTACAATCTTAAAGCAATATTTTCGTACTAATTTTTCTGATTGTGTTTCAGAAAATGGAAAATACACCTACCAATAACGTTGTGGGATCTGCAAACGAAATTGTGCCTCCTGTGGCTCAGGCTGTGGCTTTGCCAGGTTCTGATGTGGCTCAAGTGGTGGCTCCAGTAACACAAACTGTGGCTAATATGCCAAGCTTAGCTGCTGGTCCAAGTGGGACTAAGACTGTGGCTCCCATGCCAAGTCTGGCTACTGGTCCAACTGTGACAGTCCCGGTTAATCACGGGGAAAAGCCGGAGAAGTTCAATGGTTCGAATTTCAAGAGGTGGCAACAAAAAATGTTGTTTTACCTCACGACCTTGAATCTTGCGAGATTCTTGACTGAAAATGCTCCAGTGCTTCAAGAGGGTCAAGGAGACATTCAAGCAATCAGTGCAGTGGATGCTTGGAAGCATTCTGATTTCCTGTGCCGGAATTATGTGATGAACAGTTTAGCTGATTCATTGTACAATGTGTACTGCACAATAAAAACGGCTAAGGAATTATGGGAGTCTTTGGACAAAAAGTACAAAACCGAAGATGCCGGAGCCAAGAAGTTTCTTGTTGGCCGCTTTTTGGAATACAAAATGGTGGACTCCAAATCTATAATCAGTCAAGTACAAGAATTACAAGTGATCTTGCATGAAATTCATTCCGAGGGAATGGTTGTGAGTGAATCCTTCCAAGTGGCTTGCATAATTGAGAAACTACCTCCTGCATGGAAGGATTTCAAAAACTACTTAAAACACAAGCGAAAGGAAATGAACGTTGAGGAACTAATTGTTAGACTTCGAATTGAAGAAGACAACAAAAGTTCTGAAAGAGGGTTCAATCCGGTTGTGGCTAAAGCTAATGTTGTGGAGCATGGCCAAAGCTCCAAGACCAATAAGAACAAGTTTGGGCCATCTGGTGGCAAAGGGCCCAAGTTGGGGCCAAAAGGTGGAATCTCCAAGAAGAAGTTTCAAGGGAAATGCTTCAATTGTGACAAGATTGGTCACAAGTCTACGGAGTGCCGTTTGCCAAAGAAGAAAAAAGAAGCAAATATGGTTGAAGATGTATCTGACATCAACCTTGCAGCTGTCATTTCTGAAGTGAACCTGGTGGGTTCAAATCCGAGAGAATGGTGGATAGACACCGGTGCCACCCGACACGTTTGCTCCGATAAGGAGATGTTTAATGGGTTTGAAGCAGCGGATGGGGAGAAGTTGTATATGGGAAATTCAGCGACCTCCGAAATCAAGGGCCATGGAAAGGTGGTTCTAAAGATGACTTCTGGGAAAGAGCTGACTCTAAACAACGTGCTTTATGTGCCGGAGATTCGCAAGAATTTGGTTTCTGGCTCGCTGTTGAACAAGCATGGCTTCCGTATGGTGTTTGAGTCAGACAAAGTTATTTTGTCTAAGTCTGGAATGTTTGTAGGAAAGGGTTATGTAAGTGATGGGCTTTTTAAGCTCAATGTAATGGCTATTAAGCCAAAAATCAATAAAATGAATAACTCTTCCGTTTACTTGCTTGAGTCTTCCAATTTGTGGCATGGTCGACTAGGACATGTTAATTACAACACTTTGCGTAGACTAATTAACTTAAATTGCATACCTACATTCCAAATTGATAATAAACATAAGTGTGAAACTTGTGTTGAAGCAAAATTGACAAGGTCATCATTTCAATCCGTTGAAAGAAAAACTGAACCTCTTGATTTAATTCACACCGATGTATGTGATTTAAAATCTGTACAAACAAGGGGAGGCAACAAATATTTTATTACTTTTATTGACGACAGCACAAAATATTGTTTTGTGTATTTGCTTAAAAGTAAAGACGAAGCTATAGAGAAATTTGTTCTCTATAAAAATGAAATTGAAAATCAACTCAACAAAAAGATCAAAGTGTTGAGAAGTGATAGAGGTGGTGAATATGAATCACCATTTGCTGAATTCTGTGCACAACATGGAATTAAACATGAAACAACAGCACCTTATTCACCACAACAAAATGGTGTTGCTGAACGGAAAAATAGAACATTGAAAGAAATGATGAATGCAATGTTATTAAGTTCCGGGTTACCTCAGAACATGTGGGGAGAAGCTGTGTTATCAGCCAATTACCTTTTAAATAAGGTACCCCGAAAGAAAGAAGAAAAGAGCCCTTACGAGTTATTGAAAGGAAGGAAGCCTTCCTACAAATACTTACGAGTGTGGGGGTGTCTTGCCAAAGTAGCTGTACCTACACCAAAGAAGGTGAAAATAGGACCAAAAACTGTTGATTGCATATTTATCGGATATGCACATAACAGTAGTGCTTATCGGTTTCTTGTGTTTGATTCTAAAATTTCCGATATACACAAAAACACGATAATGGAATCGAGAAATGTTTCATTCTTTGAACATGTATTTCCATGTAAGTCCAAAGATGAAGCAAACTCTTCTAAACGGACATATGAGACTATGATTGAGAATAGTCAAGACAAAGAAGTAGAAGATGAAGTTGAGGTTGAACCAAGACGTAGCAAACGAGAAAGGACAGGGAAATCTTATGGTCCTGATTTTCTGACTTACATGCTAGAAACTGAACCTCAAAGCTTCAAAGAAGCTGTAAACTCTTCAGAAGGTCCTCAATGGAAAGAAGCCATTAAAAGTGAAATAGATTCCATTCTACAAAATCATACATGGGAGCTGGTTGATCTTCCCCCGGGAAGCAAACCACTAGGCTACAAATGGATTTTCAAAAGGAAAATGAAAGCAGATGGAACTATTGATAAGTACAAGGCCAGACTTGTAATTAAAGGTTATAGGCAACGAGAAGGCATTGACTACTTTGACACCTATTCTCCGGTAACGAGAATAACTTCCATTCGAATGATATTAGCGATTGCATCTTTGTACAATCTCGAAGTACATCAAATGGATGTCAAAACTGCTTTTCTAAATGGAGATTTAGAAGAAGAAATTTACATGGAACAACCTGAGGGGTTTTCTGCACCAGGACAAGAAAACAAGGTATGTAAATTGGTAAAGTCATTATATGGCTTAAAACAAGCACCAAAACAATGGCATGAAAAATTTGACAATGCCATGATGGAAAGTGGATTTAAAATCAATGAATGTGACAAATGCGTTTACATTAAAGACACAGGAAATGGTTATGTTATTTTATGTCTTTATGTTGACGACATGCTCATCGTTGGTAGCAACGATAAGATGATTAAATCTACTAAAAATATGTTGAATTCAAGATTCGACATGAAGGATATGGGTTTAGCTGATGTGATTCTTGGAGTTAAAATTTCAAGAACATCGGATGGACTCGTTCTAAGTCAGTCACATTATGTGGACAAAATTTTGGAAAAATTCAATAATGATGATACTGGCGTGGCTAGAACACCGATAGATACAAGTCAACATCTATCGAAAAATAGAGGCGATGGTATTTCTCAAGTAGAGTACTCTAGAATAATCGGAAGTCTTATGTACCTAATGAGTTGTACAAGACCAGATATCGCTTATGCAGTTAGTAAGCTGAGTAGATATACTAGTAATCCAGGGTCTGACCACTGGAAAGGAATAGTAAGAGTACTAAGATACTTGAGATATACTCGTAACTATGGACTACACTATACCAGATATCCTGCTGTTATTGAAGGATATACTGATGCGAATTGGATATCTGATATTAAAGACTCAAAGTCTACTAGTGGATTTGTGTTCACTTTGGGAGGTGCAGCCATATCATGGAAATCCTCTAAACAAACAGTTATTGCGAGGTCTACCATGGAATCTGAGTTTATAGCTCTAGATAAATGTGGTGAAGAGGCTGAATGGCTACGCAATTTCTTAGAGGATATTCCAAAATGGTCTAAACCTGTGCCAGCAATTTGCATACATTGTGATAGTCAATCTGCGATTGGAAGGGCACAAAGCAACATGTACAATGGTAAGTCTAGACACATACGTCGTAGACATAATACCATAAGACAGTTACTCTCAACTGGAGTTATCTCTATTGACTATGTAAAGTCTAAAGATAACATTGCGGATCCGCTAACCAAAGGGTTAAATAGAGAGTTAGTTGCAAAGTCATCAAAAGGAATGGGACTTAAGCCTCTAAAAGAATAAGTTATTGTAGTGGAAACTCAACCTAGCTGACTGGAGATCCCAAGATCTAGGTTCAATGAGAAAACCTAATTGCAAATACTTAACTATATCACTGTGGGGGTTATTTCCGGTCCATTCCTGTAATAATAGTGATGCCCGTGGGAAGAGGATAAGCAATAAGGCTTTTAATGATTCTTATGCGTCGAAAATCCGAGCGGAGTAATGCGGGTTACTCTTAATTAAGAAATCACCTATGTGAGAAAGAAGTGGGGCCGCTTCGAAGGGAATTGTGAGGCTCAATTCTTAATAACTCTCACTGAACCAGGCATATGTTCATGGCCACAAACGAACATAACCATGAGAACTGAATTGTGTTAGGAAGAATCCTGTGTGAGGTACATCATCGTTTACACAAAACGCAGAACAGTTCAAAGACATCACGTCTACTGATCAGCTAGTAAAGTAAATGTATTTTCATAAGGGGAGGTTCAAAGGGTAACACCTACCTATCCTATGCAGGTTTCAACTGTGGAACTTTGTCACCAAGTATTCCGTGTCTCTATTAATTTCCATTCATGTGGGGGATTGTTGGAAAATATATTATTTGGCAAATGAATTTTCACTTGTGTATGTGAAATTAATCCCACATTGATTGAAAGTTGGGATTTGAAGAGGAGCTTTAAAAGGGATTAACAATCCCACATTGGTTAGAAATGGAAAAGTGGGAATATATGGGGACTATAAATAGTACCATCCCACATTGGAAAAAGAAAAAAGAAAGTGGCAAGTGGGAAAACTTAAATAGTTATCCCACATAGGATAAGAATAAGTTTTTGGACCAATTTATATATGGTTAACAATTTGTAAGGTGTAACCATTTGTTGCATAGAGACTCCTCCGTGGCCTACGCGCCCGCAGGGGGGGTGCAAATCTTGGACCGACTTGGCCTTCGAGCCTTGAACTTGTGTGCGGGCGCGACCTGCGTACACGAATGTCGGACCGAATGAGTCAAAAATTGGCCACCAAGTGCAAGCCACGTTTTGAAAATTTTCTTTTACGTTTTTCCATTTAAAACATAACTTGAAAACTGTTTTCATTTATTTTTGTAACTCCAAAACGTGAGAATTCAATGGCAGAGTTATGACTGGAGTTATGACTGCATTAAGAGGCAAAGGCTCCTCCTTGCCTATATATCCCGAACAATCTCTTCAGTTCAGACACACCACAACAGCACGAAATCTTTCTGCTCCCTTTTCAAATTCCTGTCGTCTTACAGTCACTTGGTGATTCCGTTCCGGCACACTCGTTCAGTTCGACTGTACAAACTACAGTTCACGCCGCTGTATCCTGGGAAGCAAGCGCTCGCATTACTTCGGTGAGGGGGCGAATATTGCTTTAAGGACACTGTATTCGACACAGGCCCCAGCTTCAAAGACGCTATTTTATCTTCTGTCAACTGCAATATTTTCTTTTTCTGTCCACTGCAATTTGTCTATTACTTCTTCTAATTCAGTTAACTGTTCAGAGTTTACCTACAGATTTGAGTAGTAGCGATGGGTGGCTGACTTGGAATTTGGAATCTCCATGAAACAGTGAAGTTTCAAAGTGACCATTAGAATCTGTGGTTCCTTTTAAACTAGTAGGGCGTCCCCATTCTGACATGAGCTTGTTCACAACATCTCCAGTCGGCAAGTTTTTGAAATTATTGTCTGTTAAACACATTCTATAGCATCTTGTTGGAGTCCATGTTCCCCATATCATTATCCCTTGTACACCCGCGTGTGCGTGATCTTCTCGTAGAATCTGATCCAAATATAAAATTTTCAGAAACTTTCACTTTTCCAAAGGGAGTGACTGGAACATATGATCCATTAGGTAAGTTCACTTTTGTGGTTGTGGTGAGATCAACTGATGATAGGAAAGTGGATGAACAGATCATGTGATTTGTGGTTCCAGTATCGATAATCCAGTTACCGGTTTTAGCTTTGGGAAAAATTGAATTGCACAGTGATATACCTGTATAGGAAGTGGCTGCAGTTTGGGTTGCTGAATTAGCTGATTGAGGAATCATATGCTGGGTTTTAGCAAACGCCATGAATTGCTTATAGAGGTCTTGATTAAACAACAACTTGATCCCTTATCCTCTATGGACTGATCATAATTGCATCTGCCTGTTGAGTATCTGATATGGTTTTCAATATTTCACAAGTACGAGTCGACAATATTCCACAACTGCACTTTGGTAAAGATCTATAGCTAATGTATTCTCCCCAGATGGATTTGAAGGAATTGTAATAGCTGGTGAGACTTTGTGATCCCTATGAGATGGCACTGAGACACTTCTCTAGATAGTACACTCTAGGTCCATCACTTCTGTTGTACCTTATTTTCAATTCATTCCATACTTCATATGCAAATGAAATATATAATAGGCTCTGGCGAATTTCCTTGCTGATCGAATTCAACAACCAGGATAAAACAAGATTATTTGCTCAAAGCCAACAATTGTATGTATTACCTGTTGGTGGATTTGGGGATTTCAGAGTTCCATCAATGAATTCGGATTTATTTTTCACACTCAATGCCATGGATATTGCATGACTCCACGATATGTAATTATCTCCATTGAAGATCTCTGAAACAATCAATGCACCTGGATTATCATTTGGATGCAGGTAGTAATGGCTGTTTGGATCATCAGTTGGATTGGAAAGGTAATCGACTGTGACTGACATGATTTACTGATCAAAGTACTGATAATGAACAAAGGATTCTTGCGAAGCTCTCATACCATGTAGAAAACATAAAATGAACTCAATGTAACTTGCAATCATTGTTGCATTAATCGATGAAATGAAGAAGAGGAAGATGAAACTTTCTATTATTTCAACTTAAACAATAATGAATTACATCAGTGTATTTATAGACAATTATTCCCAACTAACAAACTCACTAACAGAAATGAAGTATTCACAACTATTAAACTAACAATCAGTTAAATAACTGATTTATTCTTCCAGCTGGCTATCAGGTAAGCCGTTAGCTGATTTCTTCTGCTGATCCGTGCTAGTTGCTCGACTTCCCGCTGATTGTGAGTGATCTGTGTCGTAAGATAGAGCCTCATTGACGAGGCGTAACAAGACTTCCACTCTTAATGCGTAAATGGTTGCAACGAAATGCCATCTGCCATAATATGAATTGGTGTATCTTCGGTCTCAAAAGATTAAAAAAGTAGAAAAAAGTATATAAATTATGACGAATTGTACTAAAAAGTATATGAATGATCGATAATTCTCAAAAAAACAAGTAGGGTAAGTGGGGTAACTACTTACCTCAAAATAGAGGTGTGCCGAGCCAGAAGAATTAACAACTGTCCCACCCTTGAGCATAGACCAACCCTTTTGGGCCATAACCCATCCAGCAGTTTCATAGCCAGTTTGTGTTGGAGGAAAGAGGGGTTTACCAACTCGATTTGGCTAAGATTTGATAGGAAGGACAATACTAATAGGAAGAGGTAAATAAAATGTAACTTATATTTCTCAACTTCAACACTTACAACACTTGACTTGACTTGTTGTTACAAAATGGAGGGACTCTACCCCTTTATATAGGGCTTACATGAGACTTCTAGACCACACATTAATCTAGAGAATTCTAGTCCATAAATTTTCATGAGGCTTCTAGATTTCATATTTGGACTAGATATTTTCCTAGAGTATTCTAGGTACAATGCATATTTATCTATTACTTAGATTTTTACATGGGTCTTTCTAGAATATAATTCTAGAAAATGCTAGACTTTGTTGGGCCTTTGAATTGGGCCTATGAGCAAAATTCTTAAACTCATATTACTTACTCCAAAATCAAGTTTACTTTCCAACAGTTTGTGTCTTGAACTTGGCAGCTATGTGAGAATTCCCTGGCTTACCCATAACCAAGCTACGACAAAATAACAAGGTTAACGTAAATTTAAAAAATCTATTTCAAAGAAAAGTATGATATGAAGTATTGTACCAGACTCGAGTGGAATGATCTACTTATTTCGTTTTTTAAAGACTTTTTGTCTAACTCATTCATTCCCTAACCTACATATAAATACTTGATAATCCGGAATTTTTTTTTCTATATTTCATTGAACTTGTTTTTATTGATAATTATTTTCATGATTTTACATACTCTGAATACTAGATATGACCTCAAAATAACAGGGGTCAAGGTCGACCAGTGATGAAATTGGTTATTTTGTATGAAAAAAGTTGTGAACTTAATTTTTGTAATAAATGTATTTTATTTTATGATTATAAAGTTAGAAAAAAAAATTCTAGGTTATCTTTTAAGAAATTGGATCATTTTATCATAATCATGACAAATATATTAAAATTTATAAAATAAAATTGTGTTAAAATCTTAAACTTTGAGTTGACGACATCCTTATTTTACTCAAATTAACGTTGTATTATATATTTCATAAATGAAATTGTGTAATTATATTTCATGAATGAACTTTCCCATTAAATGCCTACTTTATTTGTTTTAGAAGATTTTGGCAAAGTAACTCGAAATGTCACTTGGCCATTGCATTTCTGAAAATTATGACTTAAATTGTAAAACTTAGGTATTGTCAAATAATTTGAAAATCATACCCTTCGGACAGTTGATGACCCTAGGTATTGTCAAAGAGTAATGCTATTTATCCCCACACTCTAATGTTTGTGTCAGATCTTCCGCTGGATAGTAAATCAGCCACCTAAACTGTGTTTTTAACCCCATTGGGGATGAATAACATTACTCATTGTCAAATGATTCGAAAATCATACCTTTAGGACAGTTGATAATAACCCCTAAGATACATTTTCCTGGGATTTATACTTTGAGGCCTGAGGACAGGTCGAGAGAGAAGCACTTACATTCTCGATGTTCGAATATTGATGAAACTTCCATTCTTGAAGGCTAAATGGTTGTAGAAAAACATATTTAATGTCCATTAAACTTCATTGTATTAAAGACCTAACTTTAAAGAATGGCTTGGTAACTTGAAGTCTCGACTATTGGACGATGAAGTTAAACATTGAAAATAAGAAGTCTTGATTTGGAAACTATAAACTTCATGATTGGCAAAATCACAAGTGAGCCATATAGCGACATGTAATATAATGGCGAGTCAAGTACCGTTCCCTTGAAGCCTGTCTAACTAAGTACCAAAATTTTGGGGATAAAATTGGTATGGAATTTGTGTTTTGTCTCCTCATTTTTCTAATTGTCAAACTCCTTGGAAGTCCCCCAAGACTAGGTTTACATAGAAGCTCGTTAGCAAGCCCTAAAAAGTCCTAGATCTACCAATTTTATCCCCAAAATTTTGTATAGCCACTAACAATCAAATTTCTGTTTTCAATTATCTGCTCAACACGAGCTATGCTGGAGTGAATTTTCTGCGAGCAAATAGCTTGAACAGTCAAGTGTGCTGTTTGGAGTCGAAACTCTCTCTTATGTGCTCGTCTGAGCGAGCTCTTCCAGCCATTTTCCGTTCATTTTTCGCCCATGGTTGGCACCGGGATTGTACTTCTAGTTATGTTTTGGCCATCATTTGATTCCAAAGCACTCTTTTCGTTGCCGTATGTTCTAGTCTGGTTCTTGGTACGGAACAAAATTTTGATTCAGTTCCAAAAATATTTTTTATAAAATCTCAATAGAATCATAATTTATTTGTATTCAATACGATTGATATTTTGATTGTCTAAAATGTAAAGCGTGAAACAGAAATAATATTGATGCGATGGTTTCACTTTAAAATTATAAAGAATAAAAATCAGACCAAAAATGGGTCCAATTTCTTTTGCTAGCTAGTATGGAATCAATGGTTCCATTTTCATAATTTCGAATGAGAATCGATCTAACCATTAAAATGATAATATTGACCTATAATTGATCCGAGATAAAAAGGCATGAACTAAGGTGTCTTTGATCTAGCTACTAAATCTGTCGTCGACTCTTCATGCACGGATTTTGACTAGCGTTGTTCTCTTCAGATTTCTGTCCATCGACGCCACATTAAACCTCTTTACATTGTAAGACTCTGACAGTGCTGTTGGATGATTGATCTGAACTTCGTACACCCCATGAAATAGTGAAGTTTCAAAGTAACCATTAGAGTCTGTGGTTCCATTTAGACCTTCAACAAGTCCAATTTCAGACAAGATTTTGTCAACAACGTTTCCAGTTTCTAAGTTTTTGAAATTGTTGTCTGTTAAACACATTCTATAGCATCCTTGTGGACTCCATGCAGCCCATATTATTATTCCTTCTACACCCCCGTGTGCATAAACCTCCCTTATAATCTGCTCCAAGTCTTTGGCCTGCCCAAAAAATACACACAATATCAATTGTAAATATCTATATTTTCTGTCTCAACGGAAGGATTTGTAGTAAAAAGTTACCTGGTTAGGTCCGGATTGAACATCCAATTCAGTAATCCAAATGGGCAGTTTTGCTGAAGTAAGTTGATCGAGTGAAGCTCGTATGTAAGGAAGATTTGCAGTTTGAAAATGACCCTCCAATCCAATTCCCAAATGACCCATGTAACCTTCTCGTCTAAGTTGATTAATTTTCTGCAAATACATAGCCGGTGAGGCTGCACCATCTCTGCTATCCTCGATTGTGTTATAGTCATTCAAAAATGGAGTTGTGCTCGGATCAATCTCGTTCGCCTTCTTATAAAAAGAAGTCGATGCTGTCCCCCCAAGCTTCGACTCATAGTACGAAAAATGCAAATTTTCATTCACAACATCCCAATGGATCAACTGTCCTATATATCGATTTACTATAGAAATTATCCGTTGCTCCGTAGCATTCAATAGGTCATTTTTTGAAATTCCTCCTATCCAATTAGGTTGGTATCGCGGATCTTCCCAGAAAACATTATGACCTCGAACTTGAATATTGTGTGTTTTGGAAAGCTCGAGCATGGCATCGGCAGAATGGTAGTTTACCTGGCCACGGGAACTTTCAGTGACATACCACTTCATTTCGTTCTCGAATACTGTGTATTTAAACCTGCGCAAGAACCAATTCTTGTAATCAGTATTTGACAGGATATTCTGGTTTATCGCGCAACCAAAGGGGAAACGCCATTGGTTTTGTTTGATGGAGATGGTTGCATTGGCTAATGGTTGGCCGTGTTTATCAACAGCTTGAAATTTCACCTTGCTCTTGCGAATCTGTAATTTTTTTTGTGAAATAGAGTTTAAATCAAACGAACACGAACAGAAACACACAGACACACACATTATATATACACATTTACCTTCTCAATGTTTTGATCTCGGTGAGACTTCCACTCTTCGTGTGTAAATGGTTGTAATGAAATACTATCTACCATAATATCAATTGATGTATCTTCGGTCTGAAAGGGTAGAAAAGTGTAAAAAAAAAAAAAAAAAACGAACGACGATGAAAGTGCGAATTCTATTGTTACGAGAAAAAAAAATGCTGGCAGGGGTGGAAGTACTGTGACATGTTACCTCAAAATAGAGGTAGGCAGGACTAGAAGAATTCACAACAATGCCACCCTTTAGCATGGACCAACAACCCTTTTGAGCCATGGTCCATCCAGCAATTTGATAGCCAGTTTGTGTTTTGAACATAGCAGCTACGTGAGCTTCCCCTTGGCTTACCCGTAACCAAGCTACAATACATTAATACAGGTTCATATAAGCTATATGTATAAATTTGGGTAATTTGTAGGCCCTACGAAATTTATAGGTAAAATTATTTTTCGAAAAGTAAAATTTTAGGAGAAGAAAATGAAACCCAAACCTAAATTTGACTGGACGTTTAGCAAACAAAAAACATATCAAGGCTAAGAATTTACATAACCGCGTTATTTTCATTATGTCATTAAATATAAGGGTACTTACACAAATACCCTATATTTTGGAGCAGTTTTGAAAAAAAAAATGATAAACTTGGATTAAATGGTAATTAAGTAAAATTTAATGTACAAAATACGCTCAAACATAGAAGATTACGGCATCAACGTAAACCAGCCTCCAAATTAGAAAAAAAAGGGGGAAATTGGAAGGAGAAAGAGGAAATCATCCACAAATTCGTTCATTATTCGAAGGTTTGGAAAAAGATCAATGTTATTTCAATATTGAAAACTTTGGAAAAAATCGAGAAACAAAATTACAAGTTTTTTTTTTTTAATGTTTTTGACTTGTTCAATTAGTCCCCCAATTTTGTCATTTGAAGATTGTTTAGTATTCTCTTTGCATAGATTATGAAAGTAACAAATGTAATTATCAATTTTCAGCTAAATAATCTCTCGATTACGAATTTTAATCATCATAATTCACTGGATTTCATGATTATGTTTAGTTTAAACCTTATATCGTAAATAATTAACATTTATAAAGTTTCTTTTTGATGATTTTGTTAGTGTTTGGAAATATGTTTGAAAATAATATTATTGAACTTCAGAGGAAATGAATTGTGTCAATACATATGAAAAAATAGATTTGAATCAATTAAATCATTGATGCATATAAAGTGTTTGACAAAAGGAGAATGTGAATTCTGCCACTTTTCTATGAAAAAATGACATTCTGTCACTTTTCTCAAAAAAAAAAAAAAAAAAAAGTTACACTATATCATTGAAACAATTAATTAGATGCATACGTGTGCATTTTTTGAAATTTCAACATACAAATTCAAGCATTTTATGGTAATATATATGAAAAAGAAAATTTTGAATCAATTAAATCATTGATGAGTGGAAGGTGTTTGACAAAAGGAGAATGTGAATTCCGTCACTTTTCTATGAAAAAATTACTTTATCTAATTGAAATAATTAACTAGATGCATGCTTGTGCATTTTGAAAATTTGAATGTACGAATTCAAGCCCTGTTTTATATTAATACGTATGAAAAAGAAAACTTTGAATCAATTACACTCATGCATGCAAGGTGTTTGCTCAATGAAAATGTGAATTCTGTCACTTTTCTAAAAAAAAAAGTCACAATATCTCTAGGGGTTTTACCAATTTATGGTGTAATTAATACTTCCTTAAAATGTTTAATTAATTTAAGGGATATTAATCAAAACACCGTAAAAAAAAAATGGCACAGGACCTAATTTCCTCTTAAATATATGAAGCAATAGATACGTACCGGAGAACATGTAAAGTTTATCCTTCTCCAAATTAAATTTCTGAGTAAAACAATTGAACGTTCCATTTCTGTTGGAGACAACTACGTATTTGTTACCATCCTCGGATTCTTGATGTTCGACTTTCCCATCGCCGAATATTGTCCAACCTTTTAATCCGTGATTCAGCTCCGGATTTACAACTATCCCTCCACCATAATGTGCTTCTTCTGGCTTCGCCAAACACTGTCGAACAAAAAATATTTTAATTTTCAATTATCAAATCATTTCCTGTGTGTGTTTTCTCGAGAAAATTTTTTTGAAAGAAAGGGTAGCCTGCCTTGCTATTGAATCTGTGATCATAAGTGACAGCATAAACTCTGTAATCTGTAGAATATCAACAACAATAAATTAAATTCTGTCTTTTCTGACAGTTATATTCATAATAATATTGATAAAAACACAGCTAACGGTAAAAATCAGTTCTTTTTCTCCTAAAAAAAGTACGTCACATTGTGTAAAGGAGAAATAAAAGAATGAGTTGAATGTACGTAATACCGTAAAGGAGTGTAAGAAAGACAATTACGAACAAACAAGAGGTCAATACTTTGGCCATTAATGGCGATAGTTTGTTTCTCTTGAATGTATGAGTAACAGTATAGTGACCTTTTTATACTAAAAGGAATTGCGTAAAATCTCGATAGTAGATTTTCTGTAGTTCAAAAGATTGTTAAAATCATTGATATTTAATAAGTGATATCATGCCATATTAAAATTTGATAACTAAGGGATATGTATCAAGAGGAGTAGAAAATTAATTATTTTGGTGAAAATGGGGCCAAAAATATTTAATTGGTTAATTATTTCAGTCAAAGGGCATTAATTTTGAGATTAAGCAAACTCTCGTCCCACCAAGAATAATACTATTTATCATTATGGATGACCACCCGTCTATATAATTACATGTTATGTCAAAGAAAGTTCAAAGTATGATACTTATTTTATTAGCCTTATCAATTAATGTCACATAATATGCTAGTTATCAACCGTGATGATAATCAACAATATTCTTTCACAAATTCATATTCGAGTAATGGTTCATTAGTAAAGATTATTATTGGTGCAAGTGAATCATTTTATTCGTTGACCAATACAATTGTGATGTATTTCAATATACTGGACAATCAATTAAGGGATCCACAACCACCTAAACAGTACAAGATATGACACCCATTTTATTGACTTTTCATTGAATTCCACATAATCATCATCATTCGTGGAATCGTGGGATTAAATAACATTACTATTTCACAAATTCAAATTCGGGAAATACTTTATCATTAGTAAAGATTGGGTCCCTTGATTGCCAAATAACGTAATAATTGCCACTCGTAGGGTTAAATAACACTACTCTTCCATAAATTATTATTCAAGAAATGTTGTTCATCAATAGTAGAGATTATTATTGAAGTCGGTTGGCTCTCTGATTTATTGTCCAATTGAGTTATAGTACATTTTAATACATTTGTTTGATCCTCATTATTTCTAAAATATATTTTTTCTCTCTTATTTTTAACCACGTATTCTTCAACAAAATAATATTACACACAAATTTTAAAAAATTATTTTTTAATCATACATTCTCCATCGAAATACTATTTCAAAATATATCCAAGTCGATGGAAGACATTGTTGATACTATTTTTCCATCGCAACACTATTTTTTGGAAGACATTTTTCATGGAAAAAATGTCAATTAAATTACACCCCGAAAGTAAGAACTTTGGTAGAAAAATAACATTTTCCTTGAAAAATAAAGTTAATCAAACACGCCCTTATAGTTTGTTGATGGAAGTTGAATTCGAGTCTATTTTTCTGGAGGCAAATATCCTAATTGTTCGACTACAGACACCTGGTTTAGTGACTTAAAAGATGTTATGACTTCGTTACACAATAGGAATTGAACAACAGCCATAGAATAGTTTAGCCCCTGTTTGGGCTTTATTGTCCGAAAATTGTATTTTTCTCTATTTTATTTTCAATCACACATTCTCCAATAAAATAATATTACACATAATTCTAAATTTTTTCCTTATTTTTTAACCACACATTTTTCTAAAAAAATTACCATCCTAAAATACATTTTTAATGAAACCAAGTATATTGTTTGGATGGCAATTATCTTAACATTTGGGCTATAGATTCTCATGTAGTAAGATTTAGTTCTATTCATTATCTATAATATATTAAACATTACATCAAGTGAAAATAATTTTTTGAACGATTATAAGGCTACTACAATTCAATTATTTTAATAATATCTTTTTTTAATTTTTCAATATGTATCTAATTTACAAACTAATAAATACTAATTTTTAATTAATTAACATTCACATTTATTTATTAATATTAATTAGAATTTCACGTTTAAAAATGTAGTTTATTATTCATGTCAATGTATGTTAATTAGCATTCAATTTCACTTAATTGAAAATTAAATTATATTCATTTAATATAAATGATTTGATATTCATTATCACGTATATATTCCTTGATATTAATTCTAAATTAATTAACATTTTTACTTTTATAATAGTGTGTAATAATATTAAATAATTTTTCAAAAACGGTGCATTTACTGTAGTTATATTAAAATGAAAAAAAAATCCATTAAATTTGAAAATTCTATATTAGAAATAAAATGACAGTCCATATAATAGAAAAATATGAAAATAATATTAAATAAACTTTATTGCATCAGACTTTCTCAATTTATTTTTGGAATAAGCTACAATAGAAAATGAATTAATTTAATTAATTATGGTCAAAATAGATATGAGCTATAGATAATTAGAGAAACTAAAGTAGAATTTGAGAAACTACCTACTATTCTGCTACTTCCAAAAATATGTTGTTAGATGTTACAAATTCTTTTATAATCAGTTTTTTTATTACACACCTAGGACAACTTCTAATTGAGAATCAAAAGTTAGGCTACCAAATCAATCCCAAACGTGGCCTTACATACAGGAATCGCGAAATCTAGGGGTGTCCAAAAGTCCCAAACCGAATCGACCGAACCGAACTCGAACCGAACCGAACCGAACCAAGCGATTCTTCATAAATTAAATACCCGAACGGGTACCCGAATCGAGAACCGATGGGTTTGGGTCGGGTCTTGGGTCTAGACCAAGAACCGAAAAATCGAACAAGAACCGAAACTAAATAATTTTTTTATTTTTTATATTGAATTAATTAAATTATTTTATTTTTTTCTAAACAAATTAGCAAATTAATTAAATAAATCAGATTATTTTATAATTTTAATTTTAAAGCCCAAATCATTTTTAAAACCCATTAGTCCATTTTAATTTGAAGCAAATGAATATACTTTATGTAGTGTTGCTATAATATTAATATCTACTTTTTGGTATTTGCATGCATTGAATTAATCTTATTGAACTGCTAATTATTTACATGTTTTTGAATTGGGCTCCGTTCATTTGTAAAAATTACGAATGAAATGTCATTAGTTGCATTTATGCAGTGTTGTTGTAAATATTAAAAAATTTAATTATGGTACGGAACCTAACCGACCCGACCCGAGCCGAGCCGAACGCAACCGAACCCGAACGGTTCCATAATTATATTTGGACCCGACGGGTCCATTTATTAAATACCCAAAAGTTTTGGGTCGGTTTGAGTATCTTCAGAACCGAACCGAACCGACTCACGGGCAGCCCTAGCGAAATCGATCAACCCAATCATACTGATCCATTTAGGTCGATCTTTCTATTGAGTTTGTAGTCGATTTTTTTAAGGTTTTTGGGGTTGCGGGTTGTTTTATCAAACTCAAACCAACACAATTTGAATCTATACACGTTAGGTGTTGTGTAACAAAGCTTTAATAAAAAAAATTCATAGATTTGATAAAAATTGATTAGATGTGTAGTTGAAAAACTGATAAAAATTATGAATCACAAGAAATATGTTGTTAAAATTAAAATTTGATTAGTTAAAAAGTTGATAAAGATTTGGTAAAATGTTATAAAACAAGCACTTAATATATATTTGCCTTATCTATAGGGCAAATTACATAGACTCCATGAGGTTTCTACCAATTTCGGCGACACCCCACACTTTTTAAAAATTACAAAAATATCTTTTATTTTAATTTTTGAATAACGCGTGCGTCCCTCGAGGTCTATGACAATTTTAGAATAAAGCTTAACTCCCCGAGATTTACAATAATTTTAGAAACACCCCTCCATTTTAAAAAATTACACAACCCTCTCTTAACATAAAATACTTGTTAAAATACTTTTTTTTTAACCAATGTTGCAGCAATTTTGAAAGTATCAATCATGTATTTTTGGATGGTTGAGTTGCAAAGGAGGTCTGGGATTATTTCTGCAGGGTCATGAATGTTCAACATATCAGATGCGGCCACCCAAAAGTAATGCTTATGCACTGGTTTCTGCAGAAGAAAGCAAACTCTGGTGAGATCAAAAATATTGTTCCTCTGGTTATTATCTGATTTCTTTGGATAGCCAGAAACAATGCCAAACACAAACACTATCCTATAAAGGCTGGCACGTTTATTAAGCAAGTATATGTCCTGATCAACGCACTTCATAGGGCAGGGAGGATCAAACAGATTGGGAGTAGCAAGTGTAACAAACCAATAGCTGTCAAGTGGAATAAACCTAAATCAGGATGGCATAAACTTAATACAGATGGGGCACTGAAATCGAATTCACTAGTTTCAGGTGGAGGAACACTGAGGAATAACCTGGGAAATGCAACTTGGGGATTTTATGAGTACTATGGAGAATGCTCTATCTTGGAAGCTGAACTTAGAGCTATTGAAAAGGGATTGCAATTGTGCTTGACACATGGATTTAGGAAAGTTTGGGTAGAGACTGATTCAAAGGCGGTACTTACCTTGATTAAACAAAACAATGGTCCATGTGGAGTTCAATATATCCTGCAATCCATTAGATGGCATCTGGAGAAAATGGAGAATAAAATTACTCACACTTGGAGGGAAGGTAACCAAGCAGCCGCCTGGTTTGCATCCAAAGGTCACAGTGAAAGGAAGTATAAATGGTTAGAAGCTAGCAAATTCAAGGGTAGAATCAAAGGAATTGTGAAACTTGATAAAATTGGTTTTGAGATTATCCGATTAGTTCCTAATTAGAGCTTACTATAACAAAGATCTAATCAATCTTCAGTTGACATTGCATTTTAAGACCAGATTAGCTCAGTGCAGGTATTGTAATTCATCAGTAGCTTTGTAGAGGTATTGTTGCAATTTTTTTGGAGGTAAGGTATATTAGTCCTCCTCCTTGCAATGTATTTGAATTTTCATTAATAAAATCATATCCTACGGCTTGAATTTTCAAGTTAGGATATTTTAAAAAAAAAAAAAAATACATTTTTAGCCCTTCTAGTTCAATAAACAACAATATTATTTCTTTAACATTGTGTGTTATTGTGATCTTAACATATTTAAATAAACATCGATCACAATATATTTATCAAAGATCACTGGTTTTTGAAAAAAAGATTTCACAAGTTCGGTATTTTTAGAAATGAATTTTGAAACCTTCGTAATTTTTTTTTTTTTCCTTGTTAGATTTGGGTAGATTATGTTTAACTCTCAATCTAGGGTTGCTTTGGTTTTACTCACAATCTCGAATTGGTTTGATTCGATAAATTATGAAATCGAATTGATCGATTCGCTTTCTTATTTTTTGAGGTAATTTTTAGTTAGCCCCTGTTTGGCACTCATTCTATTCTCATTCTCATTTTTTTTTTCTCTCTTTTTTCATTTCAACCACACATTCTCCAAATAAAATAATATTACACACAAATCTAAAATTTTTCATTACTTTTTCACCACACATTCTCCCATCAGTCACTATTCCAAAATTTATCATTCTCATAAAATGGGTGTCAAACATAGTTTTAATTTAGCAATTAAGTTGATTCTTAGTTGATATTCGCCCCCACAAAAAAATAAAAAAAATCAACGAAATGCAGTTCTTAGTTAATTTTTTTTCAAATATTTTGGTCAAACGTTTCTCTAAAGGTTTTATGGAAGGGTAAACAACTCATTCATAATCAACGAGATCTAGTTTAATAATCAAATGTGGAAACTCATGGGTGGACTCTGAAATGTATTGTTTTCTGATCGTCACTTTCCATTGTTGGCTTCACCACAAATACTTCATTAATTTTCTCAGATTTTTCCCCAGAAAAGTGACTAATTCTGGCTTCGTAAACTCCATGAAACAATGAAGTTGAGAAGTAACCGTCAGAATCTGTAGTGCCCACAAAACCCTTGTGCGTCCATTCCCTTATTATGTTGTCAACCACATCACCAGTTGCCAAGTTGTTGAAATCGTTGTCTGTAAGACACATTCTCCAGCACCCCCTTGGGGGCCTCCATGCTGCCCACATTATTATGCCTTGAATCGCTGGGTGTGCGTGGAGCTCTCTTAAAACCTGATCCAAGTACACTGACTGCAAAAACAATTCAAAAAAATTATTATCTTATCCATTTTAGTATGACAACGTATTCATGTTAATCTTGCCGTCTATCTTGGCAACGTATTCAAACTACCTCGTTTTGTGTGTGCTGAACATCCAATTCTGTAATCCAAATTGGCAAATTTGTAGCGGCAAGCATATCAATGGAAGCTCTTACATAAGGGAGATTTGGAATCGCGAAATGACCTTCCAATCCAATTCCAAGAGGACCAAGATAACCTTGTTTTCTAATCAGTTTGATTTTGTCCAAATATTTAGTTGCTGTTGCTGAAGAGTCTTTAGGCCTCTCAATAGTGTTGAACTCATTCAAAAATGGCAATGCCTTTTTATCAAGTTTGTAAGCCTTTTCCAAGAAAACAGTTGATGCATTTCTCCCCATTTTATCCTCAAACTGTGAGAAATGCATATTTTCATTGATAACATCCCAATGAATTACCTTTCCTGAGTATCTTCTCACGATAGAATTTATCCTCCTATCAGTAGCCTCTGGTAGATCGCGTTTTGGAAGGTTTTTTACCCACGTGGGAGTGAACCTGGAATCAATTGCATAAAATTGTGCTCGTGTTAGGTCATAAAAATTAAGTTTTCAGACGAAGTGTTTCATCAAAAGACGGAGTACTACCTGGGATCGTTCCAAAGAATGTTGTGTCCACGGACTGTAATATTATGTTTTTGGGCAAAGTTGAGCATGGCATCAGGGATAGAATAGTTTTCTTGACGAGAATATTTCTCATTAGAATACCACTTCATTTCATTCTCAAATACTGTGTACTTGAACCTGGAGGCGAACCAAGACTGATAGGCTTTGTTGTATATGATGGCCTCACTCACTGCATTGCCGAATGGAAATGCCTGTTCAACCTGCTCTAGGGAGATTTTTGCATTAGCTATGGGATTGTCCTCGAAATCAGTAACTTGAAATTTCACTTGGCTCTTGCGTTTCTGCGAATTAAGATAGCTTTTGAAACTTAGATATTGTCAATAATTAAACATCAAAATTTTAGGAAATGAATAGTGCTATCTACCACTAGTGACATTAGTCAAATCTAGATGGACGTCACTACCATCGTGACGGGTGCTAATTAGCATTACTTTTACGACGGTTAATAGTCCCTAAGATACATTTCCACCAGAGGGCAGCCCGAGACAGAAACACGTACCTTCTCAATGTTTTGATATTGATGAAGCTTCCATTCTTTCAGGGTAAATGGTTGTAGAGAAACATTGTCTACCCATATGTCAATCGTTGTATTTTTTGTCTGAAAGCCAAATAAAAATGCCCACTTAAGAAAAACAACTTCAAGACTTGTGAAAATGGTACCATAAAAAAGGAAATGGTACCTCGAAATAGAATTCGGCAGGGGTAGAAATATTCATATTAAAGCCACCCTTAAGCATGGTCCAACAACCATGCCTGGCTATAACCCATCCAGCAGTTCTAATTTCTGTTTTCGTCTTGAACATAGCAGCTATATAAACATCTTCTCCATGGCTTACCTGCAACCATGCTGCATAAAAACGACACTGGCCCATAAATAAATCCTCCCCAAAAAATGTTTTAACAACGAACAAATTTTTTTTGCACTAAAATTTGTACCAGAGAATGAGTAGAGATGATCCTGCTTCAAGTCAAAAGTTTGTGAAAAACTGTCGAAAGGTAAAATTCTTTGAGAAGCAGATATGTACTTGTTGCCCTCAGGGGATGTTTTATGTTCCACTGTTCCATTTCCAAATTTTTTCCAGCCATTTAATCCATATTCGAATTCTGGGTTCGAAACTATTCCTCCATTATATTGAGGCTTTAGAGGCTTTGCCAAACACTGAAAACCATAATCAAATAATATTAATTTCATCTCAATTAATAAACGATTTAGGGCTTAAGAAAAATTTGATAGCAAAGGGAGCTTGCCTCAATGGTGTATCCGTGATCATAATCTACCGCGTAAGCTGACAGACCTGCACAACATATATTTGATAAAACAATCATGCCACATGTATATAATCATTTACACAATCTTTTACACCCCCGGAAGAGGTCCCACACACAATAAAATATTCGTTCACACTATTCATGTGAGACAGGTGTACGTACTCCTAGTGTACAAACAGCTTTATCCTTGATAAAATTGGTAAATTGACTTAGCATTAAGGTTACGAAACAAAGAAGAAGATATATTTGTTGTTTTCCTTTTATACATTGTTTTTAAACCCAAAAAAGTAAAATGTCAATCGTTAAAAGGGTTACATCTGAATCAAATTGGACGTAAAATACAAACCTAAAGTAACAAGAAAGCAAAAAAGCAGCAGAAGAATATTGTCCTTCTGCAAGTTCATTATATATAACAGGGCTGATCTTCAAATTCAAATTAGCCTGCCAAAAAAAAAGGGAAAATCATACAAATTTGCAAATATGTAATTTAATACAAAATCTGCAGCTGCCTGTCTGCATGTATAAATACTTAATTCCCTATACAATTTAACATTAGCACCAGTTCTCCATGTTTTCTATCACCACTCTATTGCCAATATTGGCAATTTATGTATTTTTCATATGACTTGCTTAGATTTTGTGTAACGAATATCAAATGTTTCACAATCTTAATGGTTTAAGAATTAATTGTTCATTTATTTTTCTCATCTGTCTTTAATATCACATTTAAGAACCGTTTTAATTTGGTGCATACATAGACAAGTTTTGTTTAGAAACTAAAGAATGTTGTGTTGTAACTGTTTAGAAATACAGCAACTAATAGGTTTTATTACAAGTCATTCATATTCAATGCAATGTGCAAAACATACCCTTTTGCCTTGTTTGGTAAGATAGATTCACAGTGTTTTGTAGTATCTCGTCAACTTGAATCAATTGGTGCTTTAGTTTTCAAAATAATACCTGAAAGGCAAGGAATTCTCTCAAATGATTTCCTGGCATGAGGAGAGAGAGAATTCGCCATTATTGGTAAATGTCGAAAAGATAGAATCGAGATTTCTCGATAATGAAAAGAGTTGAGATATTGGATCCCCAACATAAATCATCTTCCGAAATATTTGAAGAACGTGTTGTTTCCCATTATCGAGAAGGGAGAACCAACAATCTCTAAACACCATTGACCTTATTTATCCAATTTTGGTCAAATACAAACTTGGATAAATTTGGTGAAGGAATTCCGAAAGGTTCAAATTTTAGATTTTTTAAGATTTAAAGTTTCAAATCTAATTTTTTAAAATTTTATTTATAAATTAATTAATTAAACATATATTTTATTAATTAAATATATTAATATCACAATTCCATATAATTTGGTCACAAATGACAAATTTTAAACTTCACAAATTATTTTACGGTCACAAATAAAAAATTGAAACGTCACAAATTATGTTACGATAACAATTCAAAATTTTATATGTCACAATGTGTTCATCAATTACAAAACAGAAATTTTATAAGTCAAGAATTATTTTACGGTCACAAATCAGAAATTTTATAGGTCACAATTTATTCATCGGTCACAAATAAAAAAAATTATACGTCAGAACTTAGTCTCGTAATTTTATACAAATTGGTTACAAATTCATTTTTCGATCACAAATAAATTTTTTTATAAATCACAATTCATTTATCGGCCACAAATCACAAATTTCATAAGTTACAATTCAAATTTTTAGGTCGCATATTATTTATTGGTCACAATTTATCGATGACATATTATTTTTTAGTCACAGAATACCCAAATTAATGGTCACAATCGGTGACTTCGAGTTCTCTGCTAGCGATGGTGAATCTTCAGAAGTTGTGATCAAGGCTGGATCAACTGAAGTAATTGAAATACCTGCACCAGATGCTGGAAGCACATTAATCTGGGATCTTAATGTTTTGGGTTGGGAGGTGAACTGTGCAGAGGAGATTGTGCCCAATGATGAGAATTCTTACACCATGATCATTCAGAAATAAAAGAAGATGGGCTCGGACGAGGCACCAATTCGCAAGACATTCAAGAACAGTGAATCGGGAAAAATTGTCCTTATGATCAAGAATTGTTCTAGGAAGAAAAAGAAAATGTTCTATCGCTACAAGATCAAAAAAATCCTCCTGCTGGGTGATGAATTTTTCAAATAGCTTCTAAATCTAAAAAAAAATCTCAAATAATTGGTTACAATCCCTCTTAATTCCAATCCACCACCACTTCCAACAACTACCATTTTCCACTTCAAAATCACCACCACAACTATCACCACCATCAACAATATCCAACAAAATCGTTGCCACCGTCGCCCAAAAAACACCAACAAATCAAATCGCAAAATATATAAATTGAAGTCCACTTTTTTGCATTAATAAACCTCATTCACTCGAAGCATATAAGACTGTGGACTATTCAGCACCAAGTTGAGGAAATACACGACAATCTCAATTGTACTGGGGAATTTTTTTTTGCACATTTATAGAGAAGGAAAACAACCGCGCTAACTGGATTTCAAACCACGTCCTAGAATGTGGTGATTAGTATGTTATTTATATATGGAACTTTCAGATTTACATGGTAAGCTTCGAGGTCTCCTGCTGCTAAACAAACAGAGACTTCGACATGTCAGATTTTAATTGGTAACACCATCTATCCAATTTTAATCACAAATCCAACTATTGAAGCCGTCATTGTGGACTTCCTGTGAGATGCTGGGCCCCGCATAACGTTCCAAAAATTGATGAAAATCTGAAAAGAATTTTTAACAGACAGCCTCTAGATTACTACAGTTTATCTTGATTAGAGAGAGAGTGATGAAATTAGGGTTATGTTTGGGTAATTATAGTGGTGGCAATGGGTAGAGCCGAGCCGAGCCGGCTCGTTGGTTTTTGGGCGAGCAAAACTAGCCTCTTGGCTCGCCGGCTCGTCCTTTTTTTATTTTTTATTTTTTACTACACTACGAAACTAAACCTGAAATTCAAAAAATATATATATACATATTTTCTAATTTTTT